GCAATCCATTCATATGATAGACATGAATTCTTCATGTCAGCGCTGTTTGCTTTAGTTATTTGTCAAACCCTATTGATAATGCCTTTAGTCTCTTCTGTACAATTATTATGACCAGGATATGACTGGCCTTGCAAAAGATATGGCTTAGTGTAATTAGCAAAGTAGGAAGCATGGACTCTACATGGCTACAGTCTAATCTGATCTATTGCGTAAAGCCCCCAATAGCAACAGAACCAGAGAAAAAGATAGTTCTTCTCTATTACATTAGTAACATGCCATTAGCTACTCACCACTCTCAAGGCAGATCTCCAGCTCATTATTCTCATTGCCTTGAAGAACGGCCCGGAATTGGCCTTCAAGGAGAGGCAAGAAGACAGTATAGATGGTTGGGGTATAGTCATGCTCATTTTCAGTTGTTTCTTTGCTCTCCACAAGCATGAATTGGGTCTCCAGGGGAACATCCTTTCCACAGGTTCCCATCCTCTGTGTCATCCACCAGAGCTTGAAACGGAACAAACACATGAAGCGGACATCCCTGTTACAAAAGTAGATTAGGCAACAACATTTTTAAATTATGGTTCGAAACGTGATTTTTACTTCTGTAGACAAGTTTAGCTAGGATGGCACAGCTAATTCATCTTGAGAAACTATATCCAGGAGTCCTGATACTAGTCGATGATATTTATGAAACAGATATCTTGAGATATTAATATTGTATCAATTTTTGCTTCCCGTCCTGAATCAGTTAAATGCACATCCTCTAATTATTTATCCAAGAACACGTTTTAGTGCAAGTAAATGACAAGTTTTGCTGGCCAGTGAGGTAATAGGGTAGGTAATTTATTATTTCAGCTAGGTGATCCTCAACATTTAAGAGAACTCCTGAGTAGCACTTCGAGTGGGCCAATCTATAAAACACTTGAAATATGCTATTGAGCAACTGAAAGGTAGTTAATAGAAAGTTTTTCTGACTTAAGCATATTTGGCGCATAAATGAACAATGAATTTGTTAACATATAGTGCTTACTCTAAGACACCAACAGGGAAGACATGCAGGCTCTTGCTTTGTGAAGCAGTAGCACCAATGAATGCACCAGCAACAAGCCCCACACCTGAACCGTGAGTCAGCACAATGTTGTCTGGCACCCCAGTGAGTATCGTTTTCCCATGAACCGCAAGTTTTCCATCATTGATAGAGATACTTGGTGTAACAGTCATCTTTGCAGGCTCGAGGACTGCCAGACAATTAACTGTATACACAGCAAAATAATAAGCATAGCTTAGAACAATGGAAGCCAATTTCAGGAGGGGGGAGGATATATATATAAAACAGTTATGCAATTCAATCAAGTTAGATCCACCTGAAGATGGTCATAAAAATATTAAAGAAGATTCAACTAATTTATGCTCAGTGTACTATCCGAGGCCACTTGATTCCAGGAATAGCATCAGCTTACCTATCCAGGTTATCTGTATTATTTTTGAAACTTAAGTATGCAAAGGAACGCATGGACATACAAAAAGATAATCACTAAATCATTCCTCGAGAAAAATGTTTTAGTTAAGATATGCCACAATCCGACAATAGCATGAATACTATTCCAAATTTTCTGATTCGAGATCACTCTGCACTCAGCAGGCTTATATGGTTTTCTGATGATAACACAGGAAAACAGAGCATTGACTTATCCACAGCCATATCCTAAATGCTGGAAGCTCTGCATCACCATTCAATTCGAGCACAACAGAGTATAAACTCCAGAAAGAAAAGGAAAGGACACTTCAGATGGAAGTTAACCGCAAATCTAAAGAGATACTTGGTACATCTGACCAAAAAATAATTCACAGCTGCCTAAATTACCATTGTAAATATGTAGACATGTCACTGTAGACAACCTCGTATAGGCTTTATCTTTTTATTTCAGAAAAATAATACAGGGGTAAAAGTTTGATTCAGAAGTACTGAACCAGAAGCTGATAGTGTGATCACTTCAATACTCCCAAAAAAGCAATGTCGGAACTGAAAATCGAGTCAAGGGTAAACATAAGCTCAACGTACAATCCTACTTTTCCAAATATTCACCAGATTTTCATGTAAAATTTTGAAAATAAATGAATACCACCAAACTTCATTGATAGTTTGGAGCCGTCTTCTATAAAGAAAGATTTGCACGGAAATGTAAGAAACTAGATATTCCATTTCGGTATTCGGATGCTTTAAATTTTTAAAAAATCAATAAAAATTTCTAATTTTTTAGTAGAATTCTGAAATTTTAAGGAAAGTTATTAAAAACATTCAATCAAAATATTTGATGTACAATTCGTTGGACACAATTAGTTGTTATCTTTAACCAAGAACTAACTTAATTGCGGATTTAAAAAATAAAATAATAACAACAATAACAAATAACTCAATTGTACAACAAAAATTATAAGTTTAAATGAATATTAAATAGAATTTTAAAAAATAATATACAATTTGATAAAAAAAAAATCTATAATTCTCTGTACAACACGTGTCCTAATAGTTCTACCTGGTTTTCCATTTCCGTTTCGGTGCAATCAAAGATAAAGCACCAGTAAACACACCAAAATCAACTAAAATCCAAAAAATTAGTTCTTCAACTTTGAAAAATCATTTGCATGCATTCATCAAACCTTAATAAATATATATGATCCATCATAACATTAATATATTCAAATAAATTCAGCAAATAAAGTTCTTCAAAAACCGGAAACTTACCTTTTATAATACCTCTGACCACTTGAAGAAATTACCTCCCAAATTCAACTATCTGAACGTACATACAAACTCAGCTTTATATATATGCTGTATGCATGGAGGGAGGGAGGGAGGGAGGGACTCAGCAGAAGTACATTCCAGAAGAGACTGCAATGCACGCGTTCTCAATGCCCATTGATCGCTCAACAATGAAAGCGAATTCCAAGAAGTAATCACCGGAGGTTTACATACGCCTTTTGGCTTTAAACGTCGAACGATTTTTCTACAGCGAGCTAATAAAATGATGAAACGTGTGATCTAGAAGCTCGAAATATAGTGAATAATAAAATGGATATTTTTGTGGTTATACTATTATTTAATTGCAGTTTACCTGCTGTTATTGTCGTCAAGTAATTAATAGTTTTGTGTGTGAGAGCAAGTTATTGATAAAAAATGTTTAGTAGAATGAAAATTTTGTTATCGACCGGATCGGGTCAGATTTGAAACCACTTTATAGAAAGCGAAACAATTCTTTGTTAGGAACGAGGAGATAAATATGACATAATATAGGTATTGATCGCACAAGCAAAGAACAAGATTAAAGCAAGAAGAGATTAGAAAAAGTATTTAAATATGTATAGGAACAATCCAAACCCTAAAAGCAGAATTTTGGATGGAATAGAATACTTGAAATTTTTCTTATCTTGATCTCTTTTAAGTTCAACACAAATTTCAACTTTCAATGGGAATTCCGAATAAAATTTCAACTAGAATTAATTAATAGATTTCGAATATGATTTCAAAAACATTTCAAATAGAAATTTTCTCAATGAGCTTTTTATTAAATCTCTCAGTTATCTTCGTCAACGGGTTCGGGTCATACCCAAATTATAACAAAAATTGGGATGAGACTCTTGACCTTTCAGTTGAGGTGAAAAATTAGATTCTCATATGACGAAAATTGATAATGTGAAAAATACTAGCACTAATTGAAAGGTTGAGAAGTCATTGCAATCCTAATTTTTCATAACAGAAAAATACTAGCACAGTTTTTTTCCGTTTGCTTGTGCCTAAAATCATTTTTTTTTTATATCCAGATATCCACCTTACAGTGATTAAATCCTGGAATCTACACCTTGGCTCCTTAAGCTGCAGACAAGTTAAATCGCAGGTTGTGCCCCAAACTGACCAGTGTTCAAGAGCCCCCCAACTGATATGTCAAAGTGTCAAGCAAGTCGTTTCTCATCTTTGCACCTTGCTTTCCAGTAGAGCTCCTGCCTTCCAGGAAAATGTCTATCTTCCAAGAGCCTTTCAGGAATCGAACTCACGACCTTTAATTTGCCAGCCTTAAAGCATCCTCATCTTTGTCGATTGGATTGTGCCTTGGGGGCACTTGTGCCTAAAATCTTCATTCATATTAAAGTGGAT